TGCCTTGGCAGTCTCAGGTAACTCAGTTGAGGGACTTGATTTAGGCAGGCGGAGGCAGGAGCGCGATCCGCGGGACGAGGTGACGTCGCGGCCACTCGTGTTGGGCGAGGAGCTGGAGAAGACGACGAAGAGCAGGCTGCTCGGGCTCTTGTACGAGGCTGTGGTGCACGTGCAGTTGATGATTCCACTAATTCGTACCTGTGGGGTAAGAATTAGAAGACATCGAGGTACGATTTGGTTCGAATCCGCTAGAATTTCAATGTTTAAAAATCCGCTAGACGATTCAGTGAAAATCCGCTAGAATTGAATATTTACCAGTATGCTCGTCCTCCAAATCGCCAGCTCATTAAGGCGTGCGCAGCGGAGCTCTATCTGGGCCACGCTGTATGGACCAGCGGTGACATTGCTGCGGCCACCGATCACTTTCTAGCCGCCCACCGCATCCTGCCTGGCAAGGATACCGCCGCAGCCATCTACCGCGTGGCGACAGCGCTACCACCTTCTCGCGCTCGTGACCGAGGCTGTCTGCCATGGCGCACGAGTGGTGGCGAACCAACTGCGTTTTGTGCAGCAAGGCCATCCGCGGCGTCTTCATCCGCTGTGCAGCGTGTCCGAAAGGCGGTTCTGTCTCGTATGCAGCGCGACCAAGCACGAGCGACAGGAACGGTTTTGCCAGCATGACCTGCGCGCTGCGCAGTTGGAAACGGTGTTGCCGGCTGTACCACGACGCTCTTTTGGCGCATGAAGGGTCGTACAAACACATCGAGTCGCTGCTGGACGACTATGCAACGTACTGCAAGACGTACCGCCGAACGAGCGGTTGCCGCGACAGTCGATTCCAACGTTGAACCGCGGTTGGCACCCGATGCTTTAAGCGTGAGCCAGAGACGCGCCACGACAAGGTCCTTGGCACTTGGTAGAAAGCAACGAATGCTACGTTCTACCAAGGGCATAAAACAAGGGCTTCACATTTTATACCCTTGTCCTACATACGCAGTTGTTCTTGTTGGCGCGTTTTTTATTTTTAAAATCCCACCTTTCTCCCATTTCGCACGATTTCGCACGCCACGTGGAAAACGAACCGGCTCGGTCGACCCGATATCCGGATAGTACCGGATACACACCACACCACACCACGTTTTTCACGTTTCTCACATGCCGTGAAAAAGACAGCGGTATCCGGAATGCCGGATACCGCGCGGCCACTGCTTTTTGACCAATGAGCTGCGCGGAAATATTTTATTGGAAACGCGATGGGAGGAAGCGCAGCCGCGATGCACGAGGTCCCGCTCGCCTACGTCGAGAAGGAGACCGACGCGGCCTTCCGCGTGCGCTCCAAGCTCACGACAGTCCCTGCGCATGCGCCCCCGAGCCGTACGTACCTGCATCGACCGACTTGACGGCGGCTAACCCTGTCTCTGCCAGGCGTCGAGAGCCTTGGCGGCGGCTTTGTCCTGCAGCACGACCGCTTCGTGAGCTACCGCGCCATTGGCAAGCACGTGATGCTCTGGGAGACGCCGGTGCATGAGAGCAGCGCCGACAAGCCGGCGTCCGGCAAGGCGTCGCTCGCGATCGAGCTGCCGGGTACGTTGCAGCGTCGTCTGGCCTGTACATTGGCGCTGACTTACGACCTGTAGAGAGCGTTGCGCCGCAGGGCGTCCGCGTCTTCGAGTCGCTCGACAAGCAGTTTGTCTCGATCTGCGTCGTCACGTGCGCCAAGACGATCCACCGCTACTGCTACAAGATCGAGCCGACGCTCTTCTCGACCGAGGGCCGGGACGAGGTCGCGTTCGCGATGAGCGCGCTGCCGCTCCAGACGTCGATCAGCGCCGTGTGCTGGCTCGACGAGTGCAACGTGGTCGTGGGCGGCGACGACGGCGCCATGATTGCGATCAACGTCGGTCTCTCGATCTTTGGCCACTCGCATGCGTCGGTCCACGAAATCGCGCTCACCGACCACGTCGGATTGCAGTGGCTCTGG